CAGGGGCTCCAGCCCTGGCCGAAGGCGGGTGCTTCAGAGCTGCGCCACCCAGCTCCGTGGCCTCTAGCCCGGCGTGACTTTGTGCTTGGAATTAAACTCATTTTCTCAGTTGGATTAGCCCCGTCTGCAGTGTCCCTCGCCCCGCCTCTGACCTTTCTGCTCCATCTGGCCCACTCTCGTTCGGCGTGAGCGCTTCTCAGACCACGCGCTTTTATGCACAGCGCTTCTGTGTGACCTTGTCCTGAAACCCCTCGCTGTTCACCTGCATCTTTCCGTCGGTTTCTCCTGCTGTCGCCCCTTCTCGCTTCGTTTTTGCCCTTTTCTCTTCCGGCCTATGGGATTCACTTGGGGCAGGGCGTTGAGTTAGCACTAAGCAGACAGGATTGTCACATACAGGGGACTCTAGAAACACACGCACTTAGGGCACCTACCCCCTGCACTGAAAACTCTGGAAAACTTTTGGCTTCCCCCTGACATATGGTTTCTCAGCCTGCTGGTTTTATGAGCCTTACCAATAACAGGAAGAGTTCTTATTCCATGTTTTGTATATTATGCATATGGTGTAGCGGATTTTTTCTTTAAATGTTGTCATTTAAAATTCACACTTAATTGTAGATCTTTATGGGATATAGGTACATTTCCAAAGCATGCATACAGTGCGTAATAATCAAATTAAGGCCGTTACGATCTAATTCACAGTGTTCTTTTTTCAAAGAATTATTTAATTTTATTTATTATTTTTTTAACTCGCTCAAGGTTAAGTGCTCACCAGAGCGAGAGAAAGAAAGCAAACTGCCATGTCCAGGACCCGAACCACAGACCTGTGGGAGTCCAGCACACCACCTGCTGGCCCTGATATACGTATTTTTGTTTTGAAAGTATTATTTTATTTAACTCTATCATTATCATTATCATTATTATTCTTTGACCAAAGAGAGAGAGAGAAATGGCAAGCCACCAGGTCCAGGACCCGGAACTATGGTCAGTCGTGTGAGATTCCAGTGCCTTTAACCACCGCCCCCTGCCGGCCCCAGTGCACTGGATTGTTGAAGTAAACTAGAGACAAGAAAATGGCATCTAAAAAATAAGGGAGAGAGGTACCAGCAGATAGCGTAATGGTTATGTTACTGAACTTCTACATGACTGAGTGCAGCTCGAGTCCCGGAACCGGCGGCTTAAAACCCATATTAGGCATGTGTGCATGCGTGCCCAAGATCCTGAGAGGAGAATGGAGAAGGGATTGTAGCGTGGCCATCCCCCCTGGGGGTGATTTCTCACTTTCTGTCTATCTCTGTCTCTCGGCAAGCACATGCACCCTATAGCAAAAATCTCTCTTTAAAAAAAAAAGAAAAGATAAGAAAGTACATAAATAATTGTTTAAAAATATTTATTTATTTATTTATTTATTTAATTCCATTTGTCATTGTCAGTATTTTTTGAAATTTGACCAGAGAGAAAGGGAAAGCGAGAAAGCAAGCTGCCAGGTCCGGGAGTCGAACCACAGTTGGCCATGTGGGAGTCTAGCGTCCCCAACCACCGCACCACCTGACAGCCCATCAATCCCTTCAGTGTTCTGAGGGCCGGCTTCCCTGTAAGGGCCGTGGTGCTGCCTCAGGTCCACCACCACCGGCTGCCGTCCTCACAGGGAACCACAGTGCTCAGTTCCACACCAGTCCCCTCATCTTGGTTTTCCGCAGGAGGAGCAGGTGCACTTGGGTGCTGGCTCATTTCAGGGTCCTTCCTCATTTTTTATTTTTTTTAATTTAAAAAAATTTTTAAATATTAATTTTTTTTCTTTTTTCGGAGAGGTTTTTGTTATAGGGTGCGTGCACTCACCAGAAAGATAGACAGAAAGCGAGAAATCACCCCCCAGGGAGGATGGCCACGCCGCAATCCCTTCTCCTCCATTCTCCTCTCGTGATCTTGGGCATGCATGTACACACGCCTGGTGTGAGTTTAAGCCTCTGGGTCCGGGACTCGAACCGCAGTTGACTACGTGGGAGTTCAGCGACATAGCCATTACTCTGACTGCGGGTCCCCCATGGGTCCGTCCTCATTTTCAGTAGGGAGGCACCATGGCGGGCCCGACATTTACCCGTGATGCCGGCCTTCTCAGTGCATTTAGCCATTCTGCCACCCACTAGCTCTCTGCCCAGATGGGAAGAGACGCAGCGTTGTAATTTTTCTTTTTTTTTTTTTTTTAATTTATTTAACTGTATTCATTATTATTTTTTAGTTTAATCAAAGAGAGGAAGAGGGAAAAATTAGAAAGTAAGCTGGCAGGTCTGGGAATCAAACTGCAGCCATGTGGGAGTCCAGCGCCCTTAACCGCCCCACCACCTGCCGGGCCCAGCGTTGTCACTTTTCTAACAGCTTTATCATAGAGTTAAAGTTTATGTACCCACAGGTGTATTTATCAGTAGAATTCAGTGAATTTCCGCCACCGTGTATTGTCAGTTATCTTCACAGAAGCGCTTTCCATCACCCCAGCAACCTCTCTCTTGCCTGTTCGCAGTGACTGTCTCCCCCACGGCAGCTCCCAGAGCTGCTGATCTGCTTTTTGCCCATAGATTTGCCCTTCGTGGGCCCTACGGTGTGAGCCATAGCAGCCTGTGATCTTCTGGACTTCTTTCTTTCTGTCCTTCTGACTGTCTGTCTTGGTTTTTGCCATAGGGTACATGTGCTCGCCAGAGAGAGACAGTGAGAGGAGAACTGAGAAATCACCCTCTAGCGGGGATGACCACCCCACAATCCCTTCTTTACTTGGAATTTTGGACATGCACACTCAAATGTCTGGTGTGAGATTCAAGGTTCCGCATCCAGGACTCGAACCACTAACCATGTGGGAGTCCAGCACCCTAACCACTTGGCCACCTGCTGGCCTCTTGGCTATGCAGGTTTAAGGATTCTCAAACCCTAATATATACTTATGTTCAACTTCTTGAGCCAAGAATTTGTTACTTTTCCTGGTTTTGCCCAGTTACTAAGTTGTATGGGGACGAGAATTTGCTGACCTCACTGTTTTAACCAGAAGTCACCTCAATTCTTGTTCTGATTCCAGATGTGTTATTAGGAAGAGTCTGTACTGGTGCGGACCCCTTTCCTGGAATGATGCCACTATTATGCCGATTTTTCCATGCGGTCTAGGAAACAGTTTTATTTAACTTTATTTATTTTAATTTGACCAGAGAGGGACAGAGGGACAGAGAGAGAGAGAAAGTAAGAAAACAAGCCGCCAGGTCCGGGACTTGAACCGCAGCCAGCCATGTGGGAGTCCAGTGCCCTTCACTACCACACCACCTCCAACCCTACAAATGATTTTTTAAGGCTGTGTAGTGCTTGCATTTTTAATATGGAAATTAATCCACTGTGGAAGCGTCTGATTTGTACGGGAATAGTTTGGCATTGACAAATGTAGTCGTTGTGTTTTATCAATACGTCGTGCAAAATCTCATCAGCATCGGCTCAGTAGCGGCTGACGGTTCTCTAATGAAACAACCCCGATTCACGTGTTTCTAGAAAACTTCCTTAAGATGCCCGTTACCTCCCTTATCAGCCAAATTTTAAAAGTTTGAGCCTTATCACCCAAGCTGGAAGCAAACTATGAATAATAAGTATTGAAAATTGGTTATGAAGTTGTTTTTTTTTAGAGAATTATTTATTTGGAGCTGGTAGGTGGTGTGGTGGTTAAGGGCGCTGGACTCCCACCTGGCCAACCACGGCTTGAGTCCTGGACCTGGCAGCTTGCTTTCTCACTCCCCCCCACCCCTGCTCTCTCCCTCTCTGGTCACATTGAAATGAATGAATAAATAAAGTTAAATGAAAAATAATCTTTAAAAAATGAATTAGTATATTTAACTTTATTATTTTCAGTTTTACCAGACAGCGAGAGAGTGGGAAAACGAGAAAGCAGGGCACCAGGTCTAGGACTTGAACCGTAGTCGGCCATGTGGGAGTCCAGTGCCAATTTAACCACCATGCCACCCTGGTTTTAAAGTTCTTGATACTTAGAAAATCCAGGAAAACCCACGAAAAATCACTTACCTACGTGAGGCAAAGAATAAATGTCCCGTGTCCCCTGTACACGGAGGGTAGGAGGGGGCGGAGTCTCCTGCTATTACAGGAAAGGAGTGTCTAGAACGTGGGCTCGAAGCACTCACGACTTCCCAGCCGTGGCAGGAAGGTGCAGCGAGACGCCGGACGAATTTCAGGATGGCAAGAAGGAATGAGAGTTGTAAGAACGTTATTTCCAGGCCAGCCAGTGGGGCTGCGCGTGGGGTGGCTGGATCCTCATGTCCGACTGCATGGTTCGAGTCCTGGAACCGGCAGCTTAAGATACATCCTAGGTGTGGGGCTGGCAGATGGCGTGGTGGTTACAGGCAGTGGACTCCCACGGGGCCAACTGCGGTTCAAGTCCCAGACCTGTCAGTATGCTTTGCTTTCTCTCTCTCTCTTTATCTCTCTGTCTCTCCCTGGTCAAATTAAAACAAGTAAATAAAACAAAAAAATTCAGTAAAATAATTCTTTAAAAAAAAAAAAAAAAACAGCCCCAGGAGGAAGTGTGTGCATGCCCAAAATCCCGAGAGAGGAATGGAGAGAGTATTTTCGAGTAGTCATCCTCCCAGGCGATGTTTTCTCACTCTCTGTCTCTGTCTCTCTCTGTCTTAAAACTATTCAATAAATTTTATTTATTATTTTTTAATTTGACCAGAGAGAGACGGGGGGAAAGTGAGACAGCCAGCCCCCCGGTGCAGGACTTGAACAGCAGTTGGCCACATGGAAGTCCAGAGCCTCAACCACCACGCCAACTCCTGGCCGCTTTCTCTCTCTCTCTTTTTCTTTGTTCTTTGGTGAGCACAAGCTTCGTATGGCAAGACGAAGCAAGACAAAAAGAGCATCCTTTCTCTCTCTGATGAGCTGAGGCCGCACGGTCTGTCCCCTTTGCAGGAGGAGGAGGAGGAGCAGCCGCAGCCAGCCCAGCCCCCCACCATGCCCGTGGAGGAGAAGAAGAAGATTCCAGATCCAGACAGCGACGACGTCTCCGAGGTGGATGCGCGGCACATCATTGAGTAAGAGGATGCGCCGCGCCCTCCCCTTCCTGCCCTTGGTGGAGGTTGCTGGAACCCTCTCCTGTCCCCAGAAGGCACTTACTACCGTCCGGCCAGCAGCCAGGGTGGGCCACAGACAGACCACAGATACTCACGTCGGTGCAGTGGCTCGCGTGGGCATTTCACACAGGAAAGGCTTCGTGCTGTTTGTCAGGCTTCAGAGCTCGG